AAAAGTCTAAGTTAAAAGTTTAACGCAATCCTATAACTGACGATGAGCGCTATTTAAAAAAAAATAAGTAAAGTTATAAAGATTTTAATTTATAAAAAAACATCGACTTCAAACGTGGTCATACTAGTTATTTTTATTTAAAGACTAAACTACTATATTGATTTTGTCAAAATGTCTATTGAAAGAATCTGAAGGTATTTGTCCTCTTAAATAAAAAAAAATTGTACAAATCATTTTAAAAATGAAGAAGTTAAGAGATAACAAACAAAAACAAAAAAAAATACAACCGAATTGCTTACCACGAATCTACAGAGTCCAGAGGAATAATATCTGAATCCTCAGGATTAGCAACGCATGGGGGGTATCATAGGCGAAACAGTATACTCTGTTATGTCCATGGTACTGCTCATGTCTATAGGCGACGGTTACCACTTTCCATCAGGTGGGCCGTCAGCTTGTTTGCCGTTCGAAATTGCGTAAAAAAAATAGAAAAGAAAACCTCACCCTTCTTTGAAGTCAGTTAAAAAATGTAAATTCATTATAATAAAATGTTCTATCTAATTAAATGTTATTAACCTAAAAATCATACCTACCTATTAGAACTAATATCAAAGGGGGAGGAAAAGGATTGTTAGTAATGGAGACAAAAAATCCCATTGCTAGCAATATACCTAACCAGGTCGACCTCCACGCGGTTCCCCTGGAAACTATCATGATTAATTCCCGATGAATTCATCATGATAGGCTAACTGGCCTGTTTCATTCTCATCTATCAGCCTTCACTGGTGCTCCGCCAGCGTATCCCGTCAGCGCAGGCGGAGTTACCATTCCATTTTGATCTAACAAAAAAAAACTAACATCAAAGTGGACCTCTTAATTAACATAGTTGCACAATTGTATTAGATTAGTGCCTATAAAAATAGTTATAAATATAGATATTGAATAAATAAAATAAATAAATTTACAATATATTTCTTTCGTTTTTATGTCACTTCAGTCGAATATTTAAAACTAAATTACTCCTAAACAGAGTGGTTTAAAACTTTAATAGTTAAGAGGGCAAATGATTAAAGTGAACGCGGAACGTTACCCTGAGGACAGGTAACATCCGAGTTACCGATTAGTTCACACTAGTTATTACTGAAACTAGAATGTGTGATGGTTAAAGCACGAAACGAGAATAATATAGTTAATGTTTCGCTATTTTGTCATATATTAGTAAAATATTAGAGATTATTATCTCTATAGTGTTAATTTTAGTTTATTAATTAATTATATTAAAGTTTCCACACATACATAGTGTTTATTTTGGAAAAAAATGTTAATAATGGGTCTAACAGCTCCATTGCGGGGGAAAGGGATTGTTACTAATGGGGTTTAACTGACCTATTACTAGCAATACACTCTATCAGGTTGTACAGTTGGGAAAATCAGCAGCAGTACTAGTTCGTATTACATACAATCCATTCACCCAAATAGAGAATGTCTTACTGTCCGACTCAAGAGATGTTGCATCTCTGTGCGAATTTATCATGGGCACTGAAGAATTGTTCGGATTGAACCACTCTTTGGAATCAACCATCTGGACAGCAGTTTTTCAGCACTTTCTCGCACGCACAACCACTCTTTGGAATCAACTTCCAGCAGCAGTATTTCCGAACCGATACGACAACATAACCTTCAAGAAAAGAGCATATTCCTTTTTAAAAGGCCGGCAGCACACCTGAAATGCCGTTGGTGTTGTGGGTGATTATGGGCGGCGGTAGTCACTTATCATCAGGTGAGTCGCATGCTCGTTTGCCCCCTGTGTTATAAAAAAAAAAACAATGAACCCATAGATTACCATAAACCAATGCCATCTACATCTCGTAAACAAGGCTGCGCCAGTTCACACAGCTTTGAGCATTACATAGCATTGTTATCGTCGAAGCTATAGGTATCTATTTTGTTTCTATTGTTCAAACTACACCTGACCGCGTTAGCAAAGGAGGGTACTGTTTTTTGTTCTCCGTTTATATTAATACAGCCATTAAAATAATGAGAATGCAAGGCATTGATTCAAAGGTACGCAAGTGTCGTTGTTTTTTTTTTTTTTTTGCTATAAATTGAAATAAAATGTTTTGAATAGAAAGAGTTTTATTCAATTCACTAGCTTTTAGCTCACTGCTTTTTGCGGGTGAATTTTAAAAGTATGAAAACTAAGATATTGATTACTTCTAGATGGTGTATCAAGATAAAATATATGCCAGATTTTAAGTTAGGCCTACAGGAACACAACTGCAAAAGCTAGATATAATTTGATTCAGTAGTTTTCCATAATTCCGAAATAAACATACAAATAGACATACAAAATTACTAAAAATTATTGTTGTGACATCTATTGCTGTTATTAAGGCCCTTATATTTTTATATCTTCTGTATACAGACATCTTCTAGTTGTAATATATATATAGGCGACAGTTATCACTTTCAGGTGGACTGTCAGCTTGTTTGCCATTCTAAGTTGTATAAAAAAAAATTAAGTGCATAGTATAATTATGTATTGTATTATTAGTTAAAAGGTTTATTGAGATTTCAATCTTCTCTTGAAGGAAGTAATGGAAGGACTATCCTGTATGTCAGCAGGTAACCTGTTCCACAGTTGCGCAGCACGAAATGCGAAGGAATTTCCAAAAAAAAAACATTATGTTAATAAGATTTACCTACCTTTTAACAAATAGGAATTAGTATCTTAAATTTTAGATGAGAATATTTATCATTATCATTAATGATGGATCATAACTCTTAAAAATAAAGTAATAATAAAATAAAGACTATAATCCCGTGATATATTTAATTTACTAAAAAGAAACCACCTTAGCTTCACCTGCAATTAATTTGGGAAGGGTGTTCAAAATCTTTCCTTAGTAAGAGTTTACTAAATAGTGTATTTTTTTTTAATTAAACTTTCCTAGAGTATAATTTTTTTCATACTTATTATAATTAATAGAGAATCTTAATATATCTATTTATTAAGAAAACATTACATGAAATATACAAACATATAGCTCGGGTTATATGTACTGACCGGGAGAGAAAATAGTCTACATTCTTATCCCTGTGTTGAATTATAATAATAAATTAATAAATATAGCCTTTATTCCCGAAACAGTTGATACATTTTACCTTAAAAAACGTTAAACTATTTACAATATGTCTTGACGTTCGGTGTGTCTTACGATATAGACCTTTTCGAAGCCTTCCACTGTTATCTATTAACAGCCACTCCTATCCAAAGGAGACCTAGAATCACTTTCAGGGAGTCCTCCCACCTTCGCACTTTACGACCTCGGCTCCTGATGCTATTTCTCGAATACCAGACTTGTTCACTCCATTTTCCACATTTGCAACAAATATGCCCAGTCTATTTCCCTGTGTTCTAAGATACCAAAAAACTGATATCGATGTTTCAAAGCCCAGAATAGTCAGACTCAAACTAGATTTAAAAACTTAAAATACCTATAAAATTGTAATTACAATCATCATATAAGCCTTTAGCTGTCATATGCTTGGGGGAAAGGGATTGTTAGCAATGGAGTTTGACAGCCCCATTGCTAGCAATATGCCCTATTAGATCAACCTCCACATGGTTCCCCCTGGAAACCATCGTGAACAATTCTTGTTGAATTCGTCACGATAGGCTAACTGACTTGCTTCATCCTCACCTATCATCCTTCACTGGTGCCCCGCCGGTGTATACCGATAACGCGGGTGGGACTACCATTACATTATCATCCATTTAAAAAAAAAACTGTCCTATGCCTAAGTGCTTTCCCCTTGGAGGGGTTTGCCAGTAGTTGTCACGCTTGGTAGGCAAATTGGCAACCTCAGTCAGACTTTGGAGGTGTTTTAAACGGAATGCTGCTGCCCATTCCTCGCTCTTCCTTAGTCGCCTTTTACGACACCTACGGGAAAGGAAAGGCTTTCTTTTCTATACCGCAAAATATATATAAATTACTTTTGCTTTACAGTTTATATTTTATTTACACTACTGCTAATTTTTCTTAAACTTATTACCTAAAGTCTTCCAAAACTTTCTTATAGTATGGGTAACAGTCACCGCAGTGGTCACTGGCAATAGAAATACCACCATGACAATGATAACCACGGCACCTGAAGTCTTGAAAAGTTCTCAAAGCAGACCTTCCTGGATGGTATAGTTAAACATGCATGATTACATCCCTCTATGCATTCATCGGTAAAATTTAAATAACCCAGATAGAAGGGGCGTATAATTGGATCCCATTTTCTATTAAAACCTTTTGTTGTTAAACTAAACAAAAGTACAAAAATGAATGTACATTTGGAAAATGCAAATACGTTACGTAAATCTATGAACATAGCCTAGAGCGATGAAATATATTTGCCAATATATTTTTTATTGCAAATCAAATGTTGTTACAGCAATAAAATATAATGTAATCTACTACCTAATAATTTAAAAATTAATAAATGTCGAAAGGTTCTAGATATGTTTCGATATTTAGACGATAGTTACTCAATCAATCTTGAACGGCTAAAGGATTTTAATGATAGGATATAAATTTTGAAATCATAAAAAATAACTACTCAAAATGCTTAAATTTAAGTTTAATTTAATAAAAATAATTTCTTTATTCTGTCCTTCATATTCAGTATTAATAGATAGAGTACTTTACATCCGATTAAAAAAAAAGTTTTCAATTTTTTTTTTAGTATGTTTATTTTCTCATAACTCTGTTAGTTGTGAACCGATTTGGAAAGTTCTTATTTATCTGAAAGGATATACTTACAGATTGGTTTATTTAAAAGTTTTATCAAAATCTGTTACTTAAAAAAGTTTAATTTACAAATCAAAATAAGTGATTACGATACCGGCTTCAATTGTTAAGTCTTTTTTTTTTTCTTTGAGGAACGATATTTTTTTTTTTAATTTAGAATACAATTATTATTTTAAATTTATGTAAAAAAAAACAGTAGAGTATAGATAATATATTATATTGATGAAATTGTAATATTTTAGTATATGATTATCAAAAATTATTTATAAAATAGCAACGAATTAGATATTCTGCTATTAAGAGTACCATTTACTTCTTGAAGGGGGACTATTTCTACTGGAAAGGGAGAATATGAGTCGTTCATGGTTACTATATGTACGGTTAAAATACATACATATAAAATGCTATTACAACCGAATGAAGGCTATACAACAAATAAAATCAAATATACCTGATTTGAATTTTATTTCATTTTATTTAACTTTATGATTTTGTTAATATTGTTCTCTTTTAACGGTAATATTCATATGTATTTTTTACAAAACACTAAATATATTTTGTAAGGCATAGATAGATAAAAAGCATGGATTTATTTTGTAAGGCAGTTGAAATTACCATTGCCCTTGGAAGAACATTTTGCACGCTGTTAAAAAAATATATTAGATCTATACAAATTCTACAATGAATAACCAGCATGTCTTTGTATCTACAATGCACACATGTTTGCAAATAAATCTATCTTTTTCTTTATAAGATAAAAAAATATATAGCCTTCATTCTTCTGACATAGGTCATAAAATACGTTTCAGTATCTTATATTTATCCCAACACATAAAAAGTAGGTATGTACATGGGATAGTAATAGAATGGATAATAAATGGGATAAGTGAAGAAGGGTGGTGATGAAATCTTTTTCTCTTCACACATCGACTTATGTCCTGTATTCCCAAATGATTCTTTCAGGAAGGTAGCCTCTAATAAACATATGATTAAAGTGATTTGTAGACGCATTTCTGTAATGAAAAAAACATTGTTAGAATCATAGATTAAGGACGGTACCTGCGATGTTAGAAAACATCACAAATAACACTGCAGCAACTACATAGCAAGGCTCCTACGTAGAATGGGCCACGCCTACAAGTAAGAGACAGGAAACGTAGGAAACTTAATGGTCAAGAGGTGGGCAGCAGTGTCCCTCTTAAACGCAAACGCAGTATAGGACGACCCTCACTAGATGGAGCGATAACTTCAAATGCATTGCAAGGAATCAGTGGATACAGATGGCTCAGGATATTTCCTTATGGCAGTCTATGGAGGAGACCTATGTACAGCAGTAAACAAACAACGGCTAATAAAGAATAATTTTCGATAATAATTATTCAAGATTTACAATTGGAGAGTATTTAAACGTAGTAAAGTTCGCTTATACACTTCTATATACGAATTTACCTGAACATCAGTTATCTAGTTCTTTTATTCCGGTGTGAATTTTATTTCCTTTCTGTTCACAAATTAATAATATTTCAATCGTTATTAAATTTCTCGAGCCTTCCATTAAACGATAAATTAATCTAACCATTAATGGGGCTTTTATCGCCCATTGATTAGTGGTACTGTGATTAATATTTCTGAAAACAATAATGGACGACATTTGATGACAACGGAAGCACTTTTAATTTTTTCTAATTTTTTATTAATATTTATTTCTTGTTTTCTCACTGCGATTATTTGTTGTAATTGTTTGTATCTATAATAAGTTTACTATTGTAATCTTCTGGAAAAAAGAATTAAGAGTATCTATCTATCTATTAATTAATAATTTACACAGCAATAATGATCATTATTATTATTTTTAATAGTAATAAATATTTATTTAACTGATTACATATGGACCTGAGTCCTGGCCTTACGTTAACTGCGTCTCAAGAGCCAGTGTCAAATTTTTATTTCAATCTAAAAGAGAATTCTATTTAACGTTAAGTCCAACTTTAAACAGTGTATGGTATGAGTGAAATAAAGTTATATATAAATAAATCTATTATTTACGATCTGTTTACAAATAAGTGCCACATTTTATTACACCACAATTTAAAATACCCACTTTGCATTACGTACAATTCGGCATTACGTATGTTGATAAAAAGTATTAGATATAAGCACGTATTATAGTTTCTATTTTTAAGTTATTTAAATAAATTATTTCTGAGTAAAATCTAAATTAAATTCACAACACTTTTTTAAAAGACATGACAAGTTACTGGCTTTGCCTTTAGGCTCGTTTCATTTAGAGATTTTTTAATGATTTATTATGCTTTGGTATCCAGATCACTTCTTACAAATCCTGGATATGTAAATAAAGTGTATTCTTACTTCATCAATACACAAGATATAATAGAGTAAGAATATAAGTAAATACAGGCCACATATATTATTTATAGTTTCTATATTTTACTAAATTCGAAATTGACACGCATCTCTATTGTTTCCTATATATTATATATTTCCAATTTCCATTCATGGTTTTCTTTGTCGCCCATACTTTATAATCATAAATGTAATTAGAGACTCTGCCAATTTTTATTTGAAATTCTATAGTTTTTTTTAAATGTGAACTGTATAGGTACTTCTACAAATTTATTTATTTATTCAAAAAACCAGTTTATAAAACTATAAATATATTACAAACACTTTAAACAAATTGTTATAAAAGGTCTTTGGCTTTCCTAACATGTATGCTTAATATATTACATAAATCGAATTCCGTTTAAAATTCATACTGTCGGTCAAATGAAAATATTCCAATCAAATCCGGAATAGAGAGAACTAAAGCGCTGTTCACATACGTGGCGTATTTATTATATAAAAAATTCGACTTTTATAATAACACATAACAAATGAGTTATTATAGTAAAAAACTAGCAGGTGTTTAATCATACCAGAGGGAGACTTTGTACAAAAGTCGATTGCTTGGGTACCTCTGTCCCATTCGTGTTTCAAGCGTGAGGCAGTTGTATTTGCATGGTTGTGTTTCGGTTTGAAGGGTGGGATATAACGTGAATTTACTGGGTACAGAGGAATAACATCTGAGTCCTTAGGAATGGCAACGCATGGGGGGTATCATAGGCGAAACAGTATACTCTGTTATGTCCATGGTACTGCTCATGTCTATAGGCGACGGTTACCACTTTCCATCAGGTGGGCCGTCAGCTTGTTTGCCATTCTAAGTTGTATAAAAAAAAACATAAAAAAGACTATTTATTATGAACATTATACTTATTAAATTATTATCGTTATCAGCCGTTAACTGTCCACTGCTGAACATACGCTTTCCTCTTGGTGAATTTAGCCAGTAGTTGTCGCACTTGGCAGTAAGGTTGGCTACCGTAGTTGGAGTTTGGTGATGTTTTAATAGGGACACTATTGCTTATCCGTTGACCATTATGTTCCCTTAGTCGCCTCTTACTCTACCCGTGGATAAGGAAAGTGAAATTTCATTTATATTCACACACTTTTGGCTATAAAATAAAAATCATTTGCATTCCATTCTATACAATAAAGTCCAGCTTCGCTAGCTGAATGAAAAACAAATCTTATAAAAATATATCGTGTATGTGATAGGACGAGATAGCACTATATATACATCTTTCTTGTGCGGATTCTTCGTTTCCCACTAATCTAGAATTTTTTATAGATAACCTTATATACTGCTGTTTATACTGAGCTTTATCAGCATTTGTAATTTACATATACGATTAAAATCTATGTCTTAATAACTAGTGAACCGCCCCAACTTCACGTGTTTTTTTTAAATAAAAACATAGTCCATGTTACTCGCTAATAATGTAAATTTCTATTGATTAAAGAAATTTTAAAATCAGTAACTTAATTTTTGAGTTTATCTATTCTTTATTACAAACAAACAAACAAACTATTCTTTATTACAAAGAAAAAATATAAATCTTCCCCCTTTATAAAATTATATAGATTAGTTAAGGCATCATATTTACTTTTAATACAAATTTAAAAAATTCTAATAAAAAAAAATAAACTAAAATTACAGAAAAAGCGCTTACAGAAAGAAATGACCTTGATTTTTTTTTAGTAATGAATTGTATTATAATCTATAAACATAACTTTTACTTTTAAAATATACAGTATAAATATTAGTCACAGAATCTGCAACTAAACACAGTGTAGAAAGAGCATTAGCATAGAGAATGCATCGACCTTGATACGTTTGTCTATTCTCGTATATACATACTATAGTGTTTTATAATCATTTATAAACCATTGGGACAGTAAAAAATTTCGTAATAAAAACTCCAACTGAGTATGTTAATTCAATTTGTCATAATTACATTATTCTATGCGACTAGTGCCTAATCTACATTTTTACCTACATATTATAAACTCGTCCCGTTTTAGAGACAACAAAATTTAAACATTACCTAACGAATTATGTTCATACTAGCTTTTACATGCGACTTCATCCCAAAGAGTTAATGCATTCAATAGTTAAGGCGCTAAGAGGTTATAAACAAACAATGAGTTTGTTTGTTTATAACCTCTTAGAGATTTGTTTATAACCTCTTCTTTCTTCTTTCTTTTTTCTTTCTTCTGGGTCTTAAGATTTGTTTATTTATTTCAATTTCAGTACACAATTATATAATATAAGTAAGTGTACATATGGTAGACTTAGCCAGAGGGAGACTTTGTACAAAAGTCGTTTATTTGGGCACCTCTGTCCCATTCGTGTTTCTACCGTGAAGTAGTTGTGTTTACATGGCTGTGTTTCGGATTGAAAGGTGGGATATGGCAGTGAATTTACAGGGTACAGAGAAATAACACCTGACTCCTCTAGAATGGCAACGCATGGAATATCATGGGCGAAACAGTATACTTTGTTACTTTTTTTTGTATACAACTTAGAATGGCAAACAAGCTGACGGCCCGCCTGATGGAAAGTAGTAACCGTCGCCTATAGACATGAGCAGTACCATGGACATAACAGAGTATACTGTTTAGCCCATGATACTCCATGCGTTCATAATACTGCTCATAACCATAGACAACGGTTACCACTTTCCATCAGGTGGGCCATCAGCTTGTTTGCCATTCATAGTTACATAAAAAAACGTTGTTCTCTTCCATAACAAGAACTTTGTGTTGTATATAAAGTTCCACCGAGTGCCAAATATAAAAAATACGACCGAAATGAGAACCCCTTCTTTTTGAAGTCGGTTGACAATAATAATAGTAGTAATAAACATCTCACATGTCCAGCCATAATAACCATATAGGATCCGGTTTTAAATTCCTCAAAAAGCCTCATATAACCAGTTATTCATAATGGCTAAATCTGTCGTCTAAGGAATAGATAGGTATAATGATAAAAATCTTAATAACAGCATTGCCAGAGTATTTTTTTACTATTTTGAATAAAAATGGTTCCGTTTATCTATTATTAATTGCATAAAACTTTGTACTATTGTGAAGGCTATTCTCGAAGTTTATTTGCGTATAAAATCCGAAACGAGGATATCCCCAACAAAATCAAAGTTACCGACATAGCCTGAAGGATAAGCAAGCTGAAGTGGCAATGGGCTGGTCACATAGCTCGAAGAACCGACAACTGATGGGAAGAAAGTTTCTTGAGTGGCGACCTCGTACGGGCAAACACAGTGTAGGACTACCCCCCACTAGATGGTGTGGCGACCTCAAATGCATTGCAAGAAATCATTGGATGTAGATGGCTCAGGACCGGTTCCTTGTGGCAGTCTATGGGGGATGCCTATGTCCAGCAGTGGACGGATAATGGCTGAAATGGTGATGATGATGAAAGCTTTGTACAAGTAACGAGTTTAATGGTAAAAACAGAAAGCTGTTCTTTTCAAGAAATTTTGGTAAAATTAAACTCTTCAAGAAATATTTGGAGAAATTTGAGTTATTTTTTACAGTTTTCGTGTTTGCAAACACAACAAAATATAGCAATAGGAGGTAGTGAAACGGAGGGTAAGAGAGGTTAACTGTTTTTTTTTTCATCGTTTCCTTTGTGATTATGTAGCATTACGTAGTAAAATATACATTACATAATGAATAATAAAGGAAATCGTATGAATCGGGGGAAAAAAATATTAATATTTGGGTAGGGGAGAAAGGGATTGTTAGTAATGGAGACTGAGAATCCCATTGCTAGCAATATACCCAACCAGGTCGACCTCCTCGCGGTTCTCCCTGGAAACTATGATGGTTAATTCCTGATGAATTCATCATGATGGGCTAACTGGCCTGTTTTCATTTTCATCTATCACCCTTCACTGGTGCTCCGCCAACGTATCCCGTTAGCGCAGGCGGGGTTACCATACCATTGTCACCTATAAAAAAAAAATATTTGGGTAAAAGTAAAAAAATACATAAATAATAAACCCTGATTAATACTTTAATGTGATTGACATAATATTGTTATTTTCTGGAATGCAGTCATGTTTTTAATTTTTATAAACATTTTATTTATTTATTACAATATTAAATTTAATTTCACAAAAAGGAGCCTATTATTTTTAAAAGAATAGATTATAATTAGGCGAGACACAAGTAATTTGAATTCCTTCAGAAATTTTTGATCAATAGATCCTAATTATCCTAAAGTCATAGATACCACAGATCTAACCAATCTTTGAGCAATCTAGGTAGCTCATACAATACTTTACCTAATTAGACTAACAATGTACACTTCAAACAAAGGAACAAATGCAATATGTAGAGTGGAAAATTAATCACGATTATAGAAATAATAGAATACATTTAATGTTATTGTGTTGAGAATGCTGCATAGAGACATAGAGGGAGAATAGCCTCCGCAAAAAAAGAACGATCATTATACGAGCACTGCGCATGCTCCGCGCGTGTCTTCCCGCGCTTTTTAACGACTCCATTTTTAACAAAATTTGTGTTTAATTATATAATAAAAATATATTAATAATTAGGGTAATTTAATAAAAAAAAAATACTTATCAAAATGTAATAAAAAATAGTGTGTTTTATTCATTTGCATATAAAAATGATGGAGTGCAAAAAAACAGATGTTTGTGAAAATGTGAACAAAAAGATAGTAAACAATTTTATGAGGAAACGTAGAAAACTAACTTATATAAAAACTATTTATGCCAGTCTCATAGTATGTTTTGTGCCATCAATTATCTGTGATTCAGGTATGAACAAATTATTTTAAGTAAGTAATTACGACAAATGAATAGTTTTCTCTTGCCTACAAAAAAAAACTATATATTCAAAATTGTATAAGTACCAAATTTCAAATTCAAATCCGTTCAGCTGTTTAAGCGTAATAGAATAACAGACATCCGAATATCGTTACCAAATTTTCCGTTTTAGTTAAAATAAAATTATTATGAATAAAAAAGTCAGGACTTTTGTTATTTACTTCCTTCTATGATATTAATATTTCGTAAAATAAATAATTTTATACATTAATATAGAATAAGATGTATTCGGCGAGGTATGTACAGTGTACAGATGTACAGATTCGGATGAAGCTAAGGAATAAATCTAGTTATGAATAAATATTATAGAGGTTTATATATGTATAAAACGATAATAAAACTTACGCTACATTTTAACTAGATAGGTTAATTCCTGACCAATCCGATTAAAGAAATTATTATTATTATAGGTATAAAACTGGACTGGTTTTAGTCCCTCTACAGTATAATCCTATTTCTTTACATTTTATATTGTAAAACCATCAGTAAAACTGCGTACTAAATCCCAAACACCAACTACGATTTTTTTTTTATATTCACATAGGCACTACATTAAAATTCCAAACAAAATTAACATTGCTTACAGCTTAATAAAGCTTAAAGTATTTTTAATGGCCCACAAGCACTGTATGTACCTATTGAATTAATAATAACAAGACCAGAGTACAGGTACTATAAAATCCTATTTGAATATCTAAATTGTATCCACAACTTAAAGATAAAAAAAAATATAATCTCTTATCTCAAACGAAACAATACGTAAATTTACATTTATAAAATTTATTCTTAGGTACATTATAGTCTAATAAATAAATACTAAAGGGAGAAAAGGAATTATTAGTGATGCGGTCTAACAGGCCTATTGCTAGCAATGTACCCTATCAGATCGACCACCACGCGGTTCCCTTTGGAAACGATCGTGGTTATTTCTTGTGGAATTCGTTACGGTGAAATAACTAACCAGTTTTCAACCCTACTTATCATATTTCATTGGTGCCCCGCCAGTATATACCGATAGCACAGGCTGGGGGCAAAAAAAATAGCCACAAGGCTTATATCTTTCATGTCTAGACACGGCCATATCTAAGGACATATGTAGTGTTATAAAATCCTAACTTAAACAGAGTTTGTACCGGGAGTACTAGATAACTAAAAGACACATTAAAATGCTTTTTTTTTAAACAAACAATGGTAACACCGAAACAGTATTGTTAAATAAAAAATTCCAGTCAATTGCGACTTTATCTGCATGACTGGAATATTATATATATATATATATATATATATATATATATATATATATATATATATATATATATATATATATATATATATATATATATATATATATATATATCATCATAATATATAATCATAATGATTGCTTAAGCCTATTAAGATACTATGAAGTGATAAAACAAACAAACTCACTTTTACGTTCATAATATTGTAACATTTGAAAGCGCCAATGAATCAAATCCCTGATCCAGTGCAATAACACTGATGTTATTTTAATTTTTTTTATACAACTTAGAATAGCAAACAAGCTGACGGTACACCTGATGGAAAGTAGTAACCGTCGCCTATAGATATGAGCAGTACCATGGAAATAACAGAGTATACTGTTTCGCCCATGATACCCCCATGCGTTGCCATTCCTGAGGACTCAGGTGTTATTCCTCTGTACCCAGTAAGTTCACGCCATATCCCACCCTTCAAACCGAAACACAGCCATGAAAACACAGCTGCTTCACGGTTGAAACACGAATGGGACAGAGGTACCCAAGCAATCTACTTTTGTACAAAGTCTCCCTCTGGTAAATATTATATTAAAATGTTGAAAATATTATTTTATTTTTATTATTTATACTAATATAAAATTAGCATTGAATAACCTGGACACTCCTATAATTAAAACGAATCTAACGACATGTCAATTATAAAAATTCGTTAAATTATTAAACAACTGTATGGCTGTACATACAATATATAATATCATATATATACACATACAACCCCAAATAAACCTGCCTTCTTTTCTTTCTACTTTCAACAATGAAATGTCACAACGACCGGCTGTTGTTTTTGTGTACAATTAAAATAATTAAGAAGTCATCAACATTACGTAGCACGCATTCGAATGTACCGCGAAACAACTACAGATAATATACTGTTTTATGCGAAATTATTATTAACTGAAAGCTTATTTACTGTCCAACCTTGGTAAAACAGCAGAATATTAATGTAAATAGTGACATTTGAGAACCGAGTGTAAAGTATCACACACAAGCCCAAGAGGTTTAAGTGGTACTAAAAATTCTATTTTTTTAATGTATTTATGTATGATAATTAAATAAATAAAAAAAAAATTCATTCCTATTTTCAAGTGTGAAATAATATATTTTTTTTTTTGGAAATTATATCTACAAGATAAAATTAAAATTGTTAGCATTGTTTTAGAGCAAAATTTTTCATAAAGAGATGTGAGTTCAAAATCGACAAAAATTATTAAGCCTCTCATATACGAATATGCGTCTAGTTAATGAGTTAATATGGGTAGATCAAAACTGTATATCATAGGCCTATATTCAGCAATGAACAATCAACGGCTGATATGGTATATCTCTGTCTACCTCATCAGTGGTTACAGCTGTAATTATGGTACAGGTCATATTTTTATTTCGTTCACACGTACATAAACTCAATTAATATTATTATCACTTGTGTGAAAATCTTGATTAATTGACCTCCTATTCTATTACTAAAGTGTAACCAAAAGGTCACTAATGCCTTTTATTATATGAAGGGCCTATGTAAATAAATTTGCTAGGGAACTAAACTGTTTAAGGTATTACTATATTTCATACCTTTAAGGTTCCATAACCAAAATTAAAAATTTAAAAGCTTATAAGATCACTGGCATATATATTTCTGACGACTTCTTAACCTTGACTTTATCCACGTCACCGAGATATTTATTTATTTATTTAACACTTTTTTTCACCAATATAACAGGACTTGTTAAAGGATTTTCAATAAGTATTATATTGTCTGTGGCATAGTGTAATACAAAAGGCAGTCTTATTGGTAAACAATCTCTTTCAAACAGTCTTTGGGTAGAATAAATCAAAGAATGGATAGGTGGCATGTTAAAATAATAAATGTAACGCTAAATATATGTAAATGAGCACATAATTATATCCTTATATATTTATGAATATGTTAATTGACCGGTATAAAAATTGGCCTAAGTTCTTCACCATTCTAAATTGTACGCATTTCTACGTACACACACCCAATTTCATAACAATCGACCGGAGCGGTAAGATGCCAACAAATAACAAACAATTCAACTCTCCTTCAGGTTTACAATATTAATAAGGTTATGAAAATATTATAAAGTTGTTCGGATATAATTTCAAAATCACATTATCTGTCTACCGTTATTTAACTATTGCCTGCTGCTATTAGTTACATGTTTGCCATTATTGTGTTTTTTTTTTTTTTGTTTAATATGTATGTATATGTTGTATAATTATATATTTAACATATAGATAATTATTTTTAGCAGGTTTATATTTATATATATGTAAATATGTATGGGGTATATGTATTAGTATTGTTTATTTCAAATATAAATATAATGATATGTAAATTTAATAAATACTTATTATTATTGTTTTGATTTCTGTTATGCACTATTGCTGCCTACTCACTACTTCTTATACGACTATGTTGGGATGACTGGAAGAGATCTCTTTCAGAAATAAATTCACCTTTGTTTACATTGTTTCCAATTGTTATTATTACTGTATGTTTTAATGCAATAGGGGAATACATATTTAATTTAATGTACTATATCTATATAATATATAAACCTTGTAATCAGAAGTTCTATTCTCTATCAGCGCTATATATTTATTTATTTAAACCTCAATGCACAATTATATAATATAAGTTAGAGGGGGAAAGGGATTGTTAGTAATGGAGACTAAGAATCCCATTGCTAGCAATGTACCCAACCAGGTCCTCCTCGCGATTCCCCCTGGAAACTATCATGGTTAATTCCTGATGAATTCATCATGATGGGCTAACTGGCCTGTTTTCATTCTCATCCATCACCCTTCACTGATGCTCCGCCAGCGTATCCCGTTAGCGTAGGCGGGGTTACCATACTATTATCACTCATCAAAAAAAAAAATAATGAGTGTACATATGGCGGACTTAACGTCTAATAGTTACTACGTTGACTACTGTGTAAAATACCATTATAATAAAAAAAGCTTGCCAAACAATTCTTTTCCCCCATTTAGAAAATATCTCCGATGAAAAGCGACCATCTCGAATAGGTTAGTCGCATCGCACGGAACGCCGACTCCGGTAATCGATGCCGCATTAACTCGATTACACAACGCATTTCCGATGCGATTGTTCGTAGCAGTGCGATTATCATTTGACATTATTTTAAGTATGTTACCGAACGCGTTGGTGGCATTGTTAGACTAAGCTTATTACATTCTTTATCTCACTGTGCCTATGATTCCATTAATATTTTACTGAACTAGGTGTTATGTTGCCCAAGTTCATATCACTTAGTATTTGACTAGATATATTTTATACCAGATTATTATACTAGAGGGACACTTTGTACAAAAGTCGTTTGCTTGGGCACCTCTGTCCCATTCGTGTTTCTACCGTGAAGCATTTATATTTACATGGTTGTGTTTAGATTTGAAGGGTGGGATATGGCAATGAAATTACAGCGTACAGAGGCATAATATCTGAGTCCTCAAGAATGGCAACGCATGAGGGGTATCATGGGCGAAACAGTATACTTTGTTACGTCGATAATACTGATCATGTCTATAGGTTACCACTTTCCATCAGGTGGGCCATTAGCTTGTTTGCCATTTTAAGTTGAATAAAAAAAA